TCACCTCCTCCCTTCGCTCGCACACACCAACACATCAAGATCATCATCATCATCATCATCATCATCATCATCATCATCATCATCATCATCAGCATCAGCATCAGCATCAGCATCATCATCATCATCGTCGTCGTCATCATCATCATCGTCATGATCATCGTCATCATCATCATCATCATCATCATGATCATCGCCATCACTCAACACCGTCACCATGACACTCACTCATCATTATCGCTGTCACGCCACATCGAATTTACAGGCACACTCACACACACATCCACACATTTATCTTGATGAAGTCTCAGGCGGGAGTCTCGTCTGCGAGTGACTTGCAAGGAAGTCTCAGGCGGGAGCCCCCTCCCTATGGGGCTATGTGGCCCGCAGATCATGTCATTAATCCGAGGGGGTCGTTCGATTACTGAAACCGTCGTCACACTTGGGTTCCTGAGGCCTGTATTTGAGGGAAATATCAGGCGGGAGCCCCCTCCCTATGGGGCCCGCAGATCATGTCTTTAATATGAAGGGGGCCGTTCGAGTAACCGTTGCCACTTTGGGGCTCTTGAGGCCTGTATATGGGGGATGTATCAGGCGGGATCCTCGTGTGTGAGTGAATCGCGAGGACGTCTCAGGCGGGACCCCCCTCCCTATGGGGCCCGCAGATCATACAGTGGAGGCCCGACCACAAGAAACCTTCCACAAGAAACCGAACCCTTAGACCCCAGGACGTCCATTCGTTTTTGGTGTGGGAGCGTCACGCTTTCCAGAACAAAACCATCGAAATCCAAGAAGCCCAGGGCACCCTGGGGGCGAGCAGGATGTTTCTTGGCATGGGTCTCCATTGTATTGTTAATTTGAGGGGGTCATTCGATTCCTGTAACTGTCGTCACCTTGGGGTTCCTGAGGCCTGAATCATGGTGAAGTCTCAGGCGGGAACCTCGTTTGCGAGCGACTCGCGTGAGGAAGTCTCAGGCGGGAGCCCCTCCTCGTGGGCCAGGCACGTTCTGCTCAAATCCGAGCGGGTCATCCTCAAACCTATACCTGTCGTCATTGTTGGGCCCCCTAGGCAGGACTCTTGCGGAAGCCTCGGGCGGGCGCCTCGTCTGCGAGTGAATAGCGAGGAAGTCTCAGGCGGGAGCTCTCTCTGATTCCCTTTGTGGTTCCCGCTGCTCCACAGAAGCGTACGACACAAAGGGGATTGAGGAGCTGGCGATCCCGTGGCGGGTCGGCGCGCCCTGAACGTCCCGGACATCACAAGACGGGCGACATCCACGGCGCCTTCCCGGCCCACGTCGTCATGGAGGTGCGACTTACGGCAGTGCAGGAAGAGCTGAAGAAGAAAGTGGGGCCCGTGCAGGAGCAACGGGCCACCATCGTGTCCTCCGAGCTCCACCCCGAGGACGAGCAGCGGCACGAGGAGTGCTCAGTGCTCGCCAGGCCAGCTCTTTTGCCCCCCTTCCTACCGCAGGGAATCTGGCTGCAGGTACACGGCTTCAAGGAGCCTCCGATCTACCAGGAGGTCGCCGAGCTGCTGCGACAGAGTGCTGAAGGCGTCGACGACAACACAGGCCGAGGCGCGGGCGCGGAGCTTGCTGATATCAGGCCGAGGCGCGGGCGCGGAGCTCACGTCGCAGAGCTCGGGACCGCGCGCCGCTCGGGGTTCACCCTGACGCACGGGCCCTATATCACCTCCACGCTGTCGCAGGGCCAGACGCTGCGCAAGGGCGTCACCGTTGATTGCGCGAGGGAGGACGTTGGCCGCGCGGGCATGTCGGACGGCATCTCTACGTCATGTTCTCCCGCACAACGCGCGCGCGCAACGCGCTGATCCTGCGCCCGCCGCCGCGAGTGTTCCTGGAGCGGGGGCCGCTGGCGTCCTCGCGGGAGGCGCTCCTGGAGTTCGACGCGAGAGCGGAAAGCTCCAGAGCAAAGGCGGAGCAGCTCGCAGCAGAGCCGGAATTCGCGATGCCTCGCGCCTAGGCGCGGCGGCGCCCCGCTCGAAGTCCGCGGGTTGGTCTCGCGCGCCAGCGGCTGGGGGGGTTGCCCCGACGGCCTGGCCCGCGGGTTTGCCCCAGCGGCTTCGCGACGCGGCCATTCGAGAACGCGCCCTCGCTGGCCGAGGCGGCGACGGCGCCGAAGAGAACCGACGCGCGCGCTCATGCGCTGGAAAATGAACGAGATGGCGGCGGGTGAGAAACACACAGAAAAACAGGAGGGCGAGGAGGGGGCGACGTAGGGAGCGGGAGGAAGGCGTGGGCCAGGGCGAGAATGAGAAAGACGCAGAGGAAACAGTAAGGGCGCCTCACCAACTACGAGGACGACGACGAGGGTTATTTTCATACTCGCCGAGAGGATGCTCATGTGGGGTCCTACCGTTGTTGTGTTTTGTTTGTTGTTTGTGCTGTTATATCTCTATATATATATATATATATATATATCGTTATGTGTTGTTGTAGTTTGTTTTCTCTCTCTCTCTCTTTCGCTACCTCCCTATGTATATATGTATATGTATATGCAGACACGCATATGTATACACATGCATATAACTATATCCATACATATACACATACATATGCATCTACATATACATACTATCTGGTCTGACCGTCGCCGTATTAATCCAAGGGCCCCAAGAGGCTTGCAGGGTGCTCTTCGGAAACAATGTTGAAGCCTCTTGGGGGCTGCGTTGGCGTCTCTTGGCGCCTTTGGGGGGCCTTTTTGAGGGGATGGGTGTTAGAGGCCTCCGTGGGGGTCCTTGGGGCCCCTCGGGGGCCGTTTTGGGGTCCTTTGGGCCGTTTCGGGCGCCTCTTGGGCCGTCTTGGGGCCCTCTTGGGCCGTCGTGGGGCCTCTTGGGTGCCTTTTGGGCCGCCGCGGGCGGCAACTGGCGAAGCCGCGCTGGATCCACCCAGCGCACAGAGCGGCAACGTGGCGGCAAAAGGCGGCAACGTGTCGAAGCCTCGCCGGACCCACCAAGCGCACGAGGCGGCAACGAGGCGGCAACTGGCGGCAGCGTGTCGAGGCCTCGCCGGACCCACCCAGCGCACGAGGCGGCAAAAGGCGGCCTCTGGCGAAACCTCGCTGGACCCACCCAGCGCACGAGGCGGCAACGAGGCGGCAACAGGCGGCAACGTGGCGAAACCTCGCTGGACCCACCCAGCGCACAAGGCGGCAACGAGGCGGCAACGGGCGGCAACGTGGCCAAACCTCGCCAGATCCACCCATCGCACAAAGCGGCAACTAGGCGGCAACGGTCGGCAACGTGGCGAAATCCCACCAGACCCACCCAGTGCACGAGGCGGCAGCGAGGCAGCAACGAGGCGGCAACGGGCGGTAACGTGGCCAAACCTCGCCAGATCCACCCATCGCACAAAGCGGCAACTAGGCGGCAACGGTCGGCAACGTGGCGAAATCCCACCAGACCCACCCAGTGCACGAGGCGGCAGCGAGGCAGCAACGAGGCGGCAACGGGCGGCAACGTGGCGAGACCTCGCTGGACCCACCCGGCGCACGAGGCGGCAACGAGGCGACAACCAGGCAGCAGTGGGTGGCAACGCGGCGCGACCTTCACGGACCCTCCCAGCGCACGCGGCGGCAACGGGCGACAGCGTGGCGAAGCGCAAGTGTACTCACCCAGCGCACGAGGCGGCAGCGAGGTGTCAACGGGTGGCAACGTTGCGGAATCTGCCAGACACCTAGCGCACGAGGCGGCAACGAGGCGGCAACGGCGCGGCAACGGGCGGCAACATGGCGAATCCGCGCGGAACCCACCCAGCGCACAGAGCGGCAACGAGGCGGCAACGAGGCGGCAGCGTGGCGAAATCTCGTTGGACCCACCCAACGCTCGAGGCCGCAACGAGGCGGCAGCGAGGCAGCAACGAGGAGAACCCTCGCCAGACCCAGCCAATGTCTCAGGGAGACACATGCGAACCTCCAAGTAAGAGCACTGTTGAGGGGACAGTGGGAATCAAGGGTTAGATGAGGATCGATCGAGGAGGATCGACCCAGGAGGATTGATCGATCCCGCCGCGGAAGGCGCCCGTCCTCGCCGCTGCCGCCGCCAGCGCCGCTCGCCACGTTCTGCAGCGGCGGCGCCGAGCTCTGCGAGGCCCTGCGACCCGGGGCGGCAGTGTGCGGCGAAGACGGCACGCGCCACGAAACAAGCGGGTCTTGAATGGAACGGGTTTTGAGGTTGCTCCATGCTTTTGGGCTCCTGGGGCCCTCCACGGGTCCTAGGCCTGTCAAGGAAAGATTATAGGCTTCTCAGATGGTGTCCGAGTAGATGGGGTCGGAGGATCGCGCCGCATGGCCGATGCATCGGCGATGCGGCGCGATGCGGAGCCCGATTTTCTCCGCGCCGGCGCCGCCGATGCATCGCCCACGTCGACGATGCATCGCCAGTGCATCGCCGATGCATCGCCGATACATCGCAGATGCATCGCCGATGCATCGGCGATGCGGCGCGATGCTCCGACCCCATCTTCTCCGACCCCATCCAGGAGGCTTCTAAAGATCCAGTGGGCGGCGCGCAGAGGGGGGGTAGGGGGAGGGGGGAAGGCTTCTCGGAAGGAGGCTGCTTCTTAGAAGGCGCGGGCCTTGTCTGCAGATGTACAGTGAGCGGCTTGAGTAAGGAACACTTACTTTTCAAAAGGGGCTCGGTCGTTCCTGAGGCTTGCATGCGTTATTTACAGTTACTTATGCGTTATTTGTTATTTATCGTTCCTTATGCGTTATTCCTTGGGATAAAAAAGGGGCTTCGTTCCTTATTTATCGTTCCTTAGGTCAGACCGATGACTGTAAGGCCGGCGCCTTCTAAGAAGCGACCCCCTTCTAAGAAGCCTTCCCCCCTCCTACTAGTCCCCTCTGCGCGCCGCCGAGGTAGAGTGAAAAGCTGGCGGCGGGGAGGAGCCCTGGCATCGAGGACACGGTGCCCTCGGGGCCCGGCTCCCTCAGGACCTGCGAGCGTGCCCCCACGGGGATGGCGCGAGGGGGTGGGGCTTCCGAGAGGTGATTTTATAGTTGTGGAGGTCGATGAATCGAGAGGAAGCGTGCTGCCCATTGATTGCCAGATGCCCGAAACATGCCTCGAACATGTTTTGGATATGTAAAGGCATGTTTGAAATATGTGTGTAACATATTTTATAGCTTTTGAACAAATTTTAAATTCAATGATAGGACTGTGGGGGTGTCCATTGTCACGGCATCCACAATCCTATAGCCCTTCTAAGGGACCCGTTGAACACAGTGCCAGGGCGTTGCTTTGAACAATGCGCATCGTTCAAAGCATTCCCCCAGCACTGCTTTGAACCCGAGGCGGGATTTTGTACATGACCACCGCCTGGAGGATCAGTTTTCGGGGACCTCGGCAGGCGGTGGATATGGATATATTCGGGCCCCCGGGGGGCAACATATATCCAGATCCACCGCCCGCTGGGGCACCAGGACCTCGGTTCCCAGGCGGTGGATATGGATAAATCCCCGCCTCGCAGTGGACGATGCGGAAATCTGGCCAGAGGGGGGTTCTGGGGGCTATCGGATTAGGGGGGAAGGGCTGCTGTGAAGGCGGAGGGCCTCCTTAGAAGGGCCTGTCGGTTGCCACGAAGGCTTCCGAGAAGCCGGGAAGGCTTCTGAGAAGCAGCAAGCCTCAGGTCGGGTCTGTCCCTCTGCAGGAGGAACATTCAGAAATAGTCCAAGAATGGTATGGGAACGACTTGTTGATGATATTTTGAATATTTGGGGGTACCTTTAATTCTTCTTCCAACATCCCCCTGTAGGGGGACAGGCCCGACCTGAGGCCAGCCCTGCTGGACCCCCCCCCCCGCCTTCCTTTTCACACGGCCGCCCCCCTCGCGCCCCCCCCCCCCTTCCGGCGCCAACAGGACGATGCTTCCGTGACCCAGGTCTCCTCCTCCTCCTCCTCCTCTTCCTCCTCCTCCTCCTCCTCCTCCTGCTTCTCCTCCTGCTCCTCCTCCCCCTCCTCCTCCTCGACACCTTCGGGTGCTGCTTCTGGACCCGGGGGCCACCCAACAGAATTCAGTCGCACAGCAGGGATGAGCAACTTTCCGTGGCTACACTTGCGCCCTTGCCCCCCCGGCAGATCCTTGACGGCATTCGCTGGCCAGCCCCGTTCGGAAACGCTAACATGGCCCTTCAGGGCCCGTGCATCCTTGCCGCGCATCCTTATCCTGCGACTCGGCTGCAGGGAATCCAGGCGAAGACGACAAAGGGAGGGGGTCGCAGTCTGTGGGGCTGCGGCTTGAAGAGAACGAGGACGTACGCGAAGGGCGCCGAAGCCGGTGGCGAAGTCGGCGGCGACGAAGTCGGCGACGGCGGCGGCGGCGATCGGCGGTGCCGACGGCGGCGGCGGCGGCCGCGGCGGCTGCGGCGGTGAAGCCGGCGGGCGGAGGCGGCGGCCTGCGGCGCGCGCAATCGGGGAGGGTGCGAGTGGGGCGGCCTGCGGAGAAGGCGCGGGGGCTCGCTGTCGGTTCTCAGTGCACAGGTTGTTGCACAGCACCGCTCCTACAGCTCTGGAAGCCAGTGCTCGGAGAAGCAACACGCCGTAAGCACAGACTTTTGGCGCTCCGCGCATACTGCTTGGATCCGCGCTGGGCCCCCTGGCGGCGCCTCCGGCGCCGCCCCTGGCGCGCTCCGCGCGCCGGGGAGGGGGGACCAGCGCAGATCAAAGAAATCCGCGCGGGGCGCCAAAAGTTTCCGTTCATGCCGTTTCTCTTGTTCTAATTATTCTAATTGCGCAACCAAAGGATCTTTTTGGACCCACGAGGACACGCCCTCGAGGGCCCCTGGGCCGTCCTGAAGTCTCTTGGGGATCCTTTCCAATGCTCGACTTGGCGATTCGACGTGGCCATGGCATTTTCAATTTGACGATCACATGCTTCGTTCAGCGATCCGATGCTCGGCAGGGCGGCTTGGCTTCATCATCTGCCTGGTCAGATCTGATGCGTTCCGCTTTGGAAGCTGGGATTCGGCCGGCGGCGAGCGAAGTGCTTCGGATGTTCAATCGTTTGTTCGAACAAGTTGTGGAGGTGATCGAAAGTCGAGACACCTTCCAGCAGCTTGACATTGAGCTCGACGAGTGTTTCACGAGGGTGGTGATCTAGAGTCCCGATTGGTTGTCCATCCTTGGGACACGTTATGACTTAGCAACTTGTTGGGGTGGCTACGAGGGGGCAGGATAAGAGGAGCTGCTTTCGAGGAACGCGGGGGCTTTCTAGCATACCTATACGACCTATACGACCGCTCTTCGGATAATATGGAGGTTGGGGGGTGGGGGGACAGAACCAACTGCTGGCAAATGCGATGGGTGTGATGATGACGATGCTGGTGACGCGCCCTCGAATGAGCGACGACGCGTAATGACGATGTTGCGCCGCGATGTAATGCCACTATAGTCTCCGCTTCCTATCGCATAACCAATGTCACAATCTATCTCACTTTCGATCTCACTTTTGAGATCACTATCCATCGCATTCGAGCAACCTCATT